CAGCGGCTATTGAGTTGGTGCCGGTGGTCGGCTCTCGGCTACCTGGCCCTCACCCGTTAATCCGCGCCTCCTCCAACTGGCATGCTTGCGTTCGCTCCCAGTTTCCAGACGGTCTTCGGCTCTGGTGCTGATTCGTGCTCAAATCGATGGCTTCATGGGCTGAGGTGGTTGTGGTTTGTGCGTGTTTCAATCGGTGGGGGATACCTCTGTCATTCGACGGTTTTTGCATCGAATGGTCGGAGCTCTACCGCGGTTCTCAGCTTTTCCCCTGTCTCTGGCGTTGGGGCAGGGTGGACCAATGCTCCGTCTCCGACTAGTGGTGTTTGACAGGACGACGGAGTGGTGGGCGGGGATCTAGGTGGTTTCGGGTGGGTCGGGGGTTGAGCCGGCCGCCTCGACATCTTTTTTTCTTCCCCTTTATCCATGCTCTATGGCTCGGGGATCACCGGGTACTGTCAGACCTGGACTCACTAATGGTGTTAGAGGGTTCGGTCCAGTGGCAGTTCCCGGGCGGATAGGTGGTGTGGTTGAGGTTTGAGTTTGACATGAGGTGTTGTTCCAGGGCTTGGACTTCGTCTTCGCTAGTCCACCGAGCTGTTGTTGGGCAGTTTCGGAGTGGGTCCTTTTGGTTGTGGGATGCACTTTGGGTTGACTTGGTTCCGTTGGCTCCGCTTGGTCATGCCGCTTGGGAAGGGCTCATTTGTTTAGTTTGTTTCTCGTAGAGCTTGTTTGTAGGTCCATTTTTTTGGTTTGTTCGTTAGGTCTCGTGTTTTTTGTTTGGGCCGTTGGCCTCGATTACGATCCATTTGGGATCGTTTTCTGTTGATTCTCCTGTTGGGAGCTTAGTAGTTATTTTGGTAGTTTTTGTTTGTGTCTTGTTTTGGGTTACTAGCATTGCTAGTGTCGAATTTAGGCGGTCTTCTGACCAGTTCTCTCAATTTATTCAGCTTTTGGTTGCACTGTTCAGCTACGAGTTGTAATTTTCACATTTGTGCGCTTTGATCTATAAAATTCTCTATCGTTTCTGAAAAAAAAAAAAGATAATATTGTTGTTAGACTACATTGTGCATTGAAGACAATTCTGTAATTTCATAGTTGTAAACTTAACATTTTTTCTACGTGGTTCACAATACATTTAATTTTTGACATCTATAAAAGATTATTCTATAACAACATTAGAGCACTGAAGATGCTCTGAGGCCTTGCCATCAAGCTAAACGTACACTGGGCCGATTAACCTGAGGTAATCATTCTAATCGGTCCACCGAGCTGTTATGGTTATATCAATGCTTGCCACTAACATTTCCTAAGAAAATTGTCACACAAAATTATGAGCCCTTTCATAAAATAAAACAAAATGAAAGATTTGTTTTTGGCAATAAGTTTAAAAATAATATATTGAAGATATGTTCTTGCAAGGTTAAAGGAAAGTTCGTTATTTATTATATATATTGATACATACTCGGCTTATATTTATTTATATATGTTTGGATTTGCATGATCTTATTATGGTAATTTACTTGTAGGACATTAGCATGTATGGCAGATGGAAACAAAGCATTGAGGCGAGATCATTGAGGATATCTTCTTACCATCATAAAGCTCGCAAGTTTGGAAAGGAGATCGGGCAAGAAGGAAGGAACATGGAGAAGACTCCACACCTAAAGAGTTGTATATATACCGTGCTTGAAGATCGAAGTTGGCCGCTGACATCATTATCCTCTACATACATTCGAGCTTCAAACTTTTCATTTTTCAGTTTTTGTTATTCAGTTTCCGGTGTTCTTATGTCATCAAAGATCTGAAGGCTTTTGGATTGTTTTTCTTTCGGTTTTCATTCAAACACTTTTGTTATCAATACTTAGTTGCTCTCGAGGGATCGAGAGTGTTTTAAGTCCACGGGACGTGGCCAAAGAAGTAGTTGGTAGGTTTGAGTATAGTTGTGGCTAGGCTAGAATGGAGTTCTAGTTGTTGTAAGTCCAAACTATACAAGTGTGCACAATTGAGTTATCAATGAAAGAGCTCTGAGGAGTAGTGGGACGCTCCCCCAAAAGTTTTTATATTTTGTTATACTTCTGCTATTTTCAACTTTTCTGATGTTGCAATCAGGGGCTGATGCAAATGGGGACGAGTGTGAGCCTAATTTTTAGATAAAATACTGTCTATAGGAGGATAAAATGCACACTTTACGAATATAATTGTATTTAGAACATAAACCATTGATTTGAAATCCTTATTTACCTTTAGTAATGCATGTCCATCTCTTCTTTCTTTCTTTTCTTTTTCTTGTTCTATTATTTATTTTTCATGTAATTTTTATTATATTACCCTTTTTTAACTCAACAAAATTATCTAGTAGTAGTGCTATAACACATAATTTACACGGGTGTTAACTGAAATTTTATACTTAAAAAATTAAAGATAAAAGTATTATTCAAATTTTTATATTCTTTAAAGAAATATTTTATTTATATTTATATTTTATTCTTAAAAAATAAAAAATAAAAGTTTTTATTCAAATTTGTATGTACTTTTTAAAAAAGTTAATTTTTAATTATATTTAAAATGACACGCATTTTTTTGTAAGACTTGTATGTCATATTCATAGTAAATTTTCTAACACACATTGCATAATAGACTTGATTTATAAATTTAATAAAAATTAGTATGTTGTTATTCTAATTTCGATATATTAGATTATTTAATTTTTATTAATAAATATCGATATGATTCTTTTATATATGCGATATTGATATCAAATTAAAGATAATCAGAGGATAACTAATTTGATATATAAAAATCGATAACAAATAAAAAAGCTATTAAATTTTAAAATATATTTTTGTAATTTAAGTTGATCATGTGCTTTATATTTATAAATGTTCTTATCGGCATGAATAAATGTCCAAATCACATGGACTATCCGAAACACTAGAATTTTACACATATCGTTATGAATTACAAATATCTGCACATAAGATTACTAAGTATCAGCAATTAACATGCCGATGGAGAAATCTTTACATCTATATATTAGAGAGATTATAATTTATTTTATAATTCATTTTAAAAATTGATATTGTATTCCCACTTACTAGTTATTGTTCATATCTAGGAACATAATTATTACCTTTTTTTTTCTAATATATAATTCATTGCATCTGAATTTCCTATGGAAAATCATTATCAAGATTATCTTGAAATATAAGTTAATTCATAAATAAATTTTAAGTTTTGATGATTTTAGCAATAAAATATTTTGGAGGATAATTATTTGTTCAGCAATCGTAAATACTGTTTTGAAATGAACATGATTCACAAAAGCAAAGGAAAATTGATCGAAATAACATTTTCATTTGGAATCTTGTTAATTATTTAATAGATTTTTGCCCACACTCAACAATTTTTCTAGATCCGCCCCTGGTCGCAACGTAGTTTATTTACAATCAGTGTTCTGACACAAGTTTAGCGCAATTAACTCAAAACTTTTACTTTTCACAAAAGAAATACAGCATTAGTTGATTGTAAACTTAAAACACATCAAGAAGCATACTTGATTATATTTGATATTAAAAAAATCATCTTTATTTACATTGTTCAAAAAAGAGTCTAACCCAACGGGGTCAACGGGCGAAAAGCAATAAACACGGGGACTGAAATGAAAATATCTTTCATTACAGGGACTTCATGGCGCAATTAAGTAACCCTTTGAAAAATTAAAAAATCTGAAACGCAATATACAAATACACACAACCAGAGTGTTTCGCGGTTATTACCCCAAAAAAATTAAAAGGAATAAATTCATCCTTCGTCCAGTGCCTCTTTCTCTCTCTAGGCGGCCACGCACTTTCTCGGCCGAATCATAATCTGACACCAGCCGTTGGGCAATCGACGAATTTCGAATCCGTAGCTGACTGCAATGGCGGTGAACTGAATTTGTTGGGTGAAGGTAAAGAAAAAACAAAAAAAGCGTTGTTTTTTGTTCTTAAAACTTCTCTTGGGTTCTTTAATTTCGTTCTTCACGATTTGAATTTGAGCTTTTAGGGAGATGGATTGTAAAGATTTCATTTTATTTTGTTTTTTTTTGTTTAAATTTGGTGCTGTTTTTCTCTTTCGATTGTTGTCGTTGATCTCATCTGCTACTCCTTTTTTCTTTTCTTTCCCTTCTCTTTTAATTTTGAAATGAAAAAGTGTAACCTTTTGGCGTTTTTTATTACAAGTCTGATTAAATTTGGCCTGTAACTTGTAAATCTTGTTTTGTGCGATTGTGAGTCAGGCTAGAAATTTGTGAAAGGTTGTTGATTTGGGTATTAGAAGTGTTCTTTTAAGTTTGAAATTGATGAGCTTTTTATAGCTTTGTTAAGCTAATGATCGATGGGGAAGTGTGCTGGTGTTCGAGCTCCGGTTTACGCTTGTCTAGTGTGTACTCTAGGTGGGATGTGAATGATGTAAATGGGAGTTCTTATGCTTGGAAATTCGGGTTTGACCATGTGGTGAATTTCTGTTTTAGGCTAATCGCAGAACATTTCAAATAGTTTCTATGATTAGCCACTGTACATATTTTATTAATGGATAAAATAGCAACAGTGTCTGGGGATTAATTTCTTTTCTTAAGATGTTCATGTTTGAATTCTATGGCATATATAGTTCTTGTTTGTTTAACTCACGTGGCTTAAGTTAAATTAATTGTCAAGTGTCAACCAAATTTTAATTTTAGATTTGGAAGTGGGAATCTTGAAAATTTCTTTCCTTTTCCGTGTGCTTTTGCTTCAGCCTTCAGTAGCAGCAATAGCACATTTCTGAAGGAAACTTACTTGGCCCCTTTTCATGACATGAGTTGAAATGAGCTTGTGGAGGGAAACTGAGACTTGATAGTTCAGTTTTGTAAATTTCCCAAATAAGTGTTAAAGAAATTAACCATTTTTCGTTTCTGGCAGTTCACCTTTATTTTTTCCATTTGTGTAATCTTTTGATATCTTGTTTTTTCATTTAGTTTGATTATGGGTCCGCTAAGAAAGTCGAGAAGTGTCAATAGGCGGTATATCAATGAAGTATCTCCAAGTAAAGATGGTGATAGTGCTCAAAGAAGCAATAGCAAGGTGAGATTTCTTGTCCTGAATTTATTCAGTTTTCTGCTGTGCTTAAACTCGTCTAATCCTACTTCTTGTTGTGCAAAATGTATGGTTAAGTGATATATTCTTTTTGACGGGTCCCTCTCTTTTCATTTTCAAAACGTTATCATAATTTTTATTGAAATGCATTGCATCATTTTAATTTGTTATAAACTTTCATGATCACTGACTTCTAAAGATACAAGGAATAGTTTTAAATCCTCCTTTTTGTCGCTCACGCGAGGCAGGCATCCTTATCTATCAGTAGAAAGTTAACCCGATTTTTTTTAGCTTGTCTCTTATAGAAGGTTAAATTTTCAAATGTGCAGCAGTGCAAAGGATGTCAAATTTGTTTTTTTTTTTTAATTATTATTATTATTTATACGTTTCTGTGGCATTATAGGGAATGCTGAAACATCACAGTGAGTGATTATTTTTGTTTCATTTGTTATTCATGTAATAAAGTCTCATGAAAAACTGTATTATTTTTCCAAAGAGGATGAGCAGCTTGACTTAATATGTTAGGAATCAGGTACAGTATGATGTCTTGCTAAAAAATTTCACAGCCATGTTATCCATTTTTTTGTTTCTTGGTTATTGTCCTTCATTTTTCTTCACCCTGTTCATTTTAGATAAAATGGAACGTAAAATTCTAATATTTCTTGTACTCTAAGAAGTGCTGGCTGCATTATTATATCAATTAGTCCCCCTTGTTTGCTGATTTATCAGAAAAGAAAGTTGTCTGACATGCTGGGACCTCGATGGGCAACAGAGGAGCTGACTTGTTTTTATGATGCTTACCGCAAGTATGGTAAAGATTGGAAAAAGGTTAGTTTGACACTTCGACTCTACATTAGATTAGTTGGTGAAGAATCATGTGCATGGATAAAGTATATTGCTCTTTAATACTTTAATAAAGACTTGCTCTGAATCAGGCAGGGATTCACATACTCATGAATTCATCAGTTTGTTATATTGGTTAATATAGGTAGCCGGTGCTGTGAGAAATCGATCCTCGGAAATGGTGGAAGCCATTTACACTATGAATAGGGTAAGTTTGCTTGTTGATTTAAGTATTTAACAGTAATGACTGGATTACTATCCTATATGTCAAGTCCAGGCAAAACCTTTATTGACAGACTATTGTTAACTGGAAAATAACATTTTATGCCTAAAATCAGTCTATAAGGTCTATTTATTCATTTATCCTTGTACTGGCATTGTCCAAACTGAAGTCCTTTTATTACAAATATTTGTCCCAATATACTCAAGGCCGAACGGCCCATATTTATGCTAATTGAAAATGGGAAAAATGTTTTCGTAATTAAATAGTTAAAGATACAACTTTTGAGAAATTTAGCATAATAATTAGACCTCAGTGATGTCGTATCATTCATTTTGTAAGGTTTCATAAACTGTGAAAATTTCTAAAACGACAATTATTTTGGATGAAGGGAGTTGATTTAAATTTAATATTAAAGATCCTCTGGCAATAAAATCTAAACTTAAGATGTTGACATCAGACAATCTTATTTATTACATATCTCTAGTTGCAGTAATTGTAAATGTTACCTGAGAGTTTTGACAACTATTGCATGCAGAACCATGACAGGAATATTTAGGGACCCTCTCTTTTATGATATTAGGGAGTCATAGTAGGTCCGTTGGAGGACACGGTGGAGATGTAAACACTTGAATACTACATTCTTGGTTCTGGTTTTATAAATGATTAGATTGCTGTTGAACGTTAGTATGTGATTTAATTATTATCAAACATGAAATGATGAAGAGTTCTCTCGTTTTTTAACGAGTGAAGATTGTAGTTGTGTTATAACTAATAATGAACGCTCACCTTTTTCCTCATGGTCTGGATTATTTAATTTGTAGTTATTCTGTAGTTCCACACCCGTAAGCTATGTAAAAGCCGTGGGTGGCACTCATCCAACTCTTGAATTTGCAAATTTCAATGCAAAGAATATTTAACTGTGGCTGGCACAACCATGCTTTATCTATAATTGTTTTTGCGCCCCTTATTTTTGGTTATGATAATTTTTGGCTTTTAATTGCAGGCGTACTTGTCTCTTCCACACGGAACTGCTTCTGCAACTGGGCTGATTGCGATGGTGACTGATCATTATAGCAATCTGGTGAGTTTTTTTAGTTCAAATAAAGCTGAAGATACAGATATTGGAAGAAACTTCATTGTTCAAAATTTTATGCCATAAACGTCTTACTAGTTCCTTGCAATATATCTGTGGAAATAATAGTTAAAGTAGTTGCTAGAGGTTGTCTTCTTGCTTCCTATTTCAGAGCTCTCACCCTGAGCACGTGGATTTTGTTGTAACGTTTAACTTATGCTTTAAGATTAGTATTATTATTATTATTATTATTATTATTATTATTATTATTATTATTATTATTATTATTATTATTATTATTATTATTATTATTATTATTATTACGTTCCACCATTATTATTATTATTATTATTATTATTATTATTATTATTATTATTATTATTATTATTATTATTATTATTATTATTATTATTTTCATTATTATTATTATTATTATTAATCCACCCTATCCCCTTAATGATAAAATATTTCCTTGCACTTTTTTTAGGTTAATTAAGATAAAAATCGTTACATTTTATTATATTTGTTATTGTATCATATAATATTTATTATTAAAATTAATAATTATATTTTAAACTAAATGATATATGAGAAATACATAAACAAAAAAAAAAAATATATTGTAAAAAAATTTGTTCAACTTATCTATTCTAAAATCAATATCATATTTTTTATCTGATTAAGTGATTGTTTTTTAACTAAATTAATTTGTTTGAATGTCATAGTAAAATTCTTTAAAATCGCATAAGCAATTGGTATAATAAATTTATTTTTTTTAGCTAATTAATTGGTCATGATCCCTAAAAAATTACAAAATTACATTACTTATTACATTTATACAATCAATACAGTGATTCATATGCAATCAAATCTTATGTATTATTTATTTCAACAAATGATCAAATTTTAAAACATAATAACATTATCTAACTTGTGATTTTAATATTATATGCAGAAATATAACTTGTGATAGCTTATGTTTAAATTATAATAACATTATCTATCTTATAATTTTGATATTATATGCATACAAATAACTCATAATACTTTATTTGCACATGGTCGAGTACTAGTTGTTGTTGTTATTATTATTATTATTATTATTATTATTATTATTATTATTTAAGATATAATCCATGCAGTTTCCTTGTTACTGCAGTGCAACTTCCTTGCAGCTGCAGAGCTCTTTCATGGCAGCCATTTTAGGCTGACTTTTCAGCTTAAGTAATTTCTAGGAAAGCCACTAGGGTAGTTGCTTTTAGTTCTTATAAATAAGGATGCAGTTTTTATTTGTAAACATAAAGAAAAACTGAATACTCAATACATTGAGTTGTTCACAATCTTCTTCTTCCATCCTAAAAGTGTCCGTTTGTGCCGGAAGCATTTTTGCTTACCCGAACAGTGCAGCCCAGTTGCAAACTGAGCAGCCAAGCTGTGAACGAGTAGGGACTAACATATTCATGGTTATGTTTAATTTCAAATATTTACAAGATTCATATATTGAAGTTGATACATTCAATTCAAACACTTATTTTAAATAATAATAATAATAATTTGCTTGGTTACGAGATTTATTTATTTGTTTACTTATTTGTACTTTTGCCCAAATTAATTGTATACTTAAATACGATATAACATTGTATAATTTTAATTATTCTATTGACATTCACGAATACTGCAATCTATTTCAATATTAAAAATAAATAGGAGATGCTAAGATAAATATTATTTGTAAAATATTTAATATTTAACTTGGGAAATTAATTTACCCACCTCAAAATATTTTCGTCCTCGAAAGTAACATCTAAAAACAAAATAACATAAAATAAATAAAAATAACTAAAGGTAGAAATTCTTCATTCTCAAATATTACGATTTAGTTACTTCCCTTGCTAGCTTCGCCTAAAACTATAAGGTCGTCTTCTGACCCTTCACACTCTGTTTCAGTCCTTCATATTTTTCCCAACCTTGGGCCGGACCCTTCACAATATGTTTCAGTCCTTCATATTTTTTCCAACACCGGCCCTAGAGTACTAGGTCATAAAAACTGATTCGAGGCGATCCTTCACCAATCCTGCTGAGTTCGCTGCTTATTTCTCCTGCTACATTGTTTTTCAGGTGTTCAAGAATATCAATCCCATCCATATATGTGAGGAGATAACCTAATTCTCTATATTCTTTCCATAACTGGAACAACTTCATAATATTGTCTCCCACTTACAACCCTCCGTCCACCACGAACTCTTTGAATTCTTGAATTTTCCTAGAAGTAATGTTGTCGGGTTCTAAGCTCGACTTTCTACTGGTTCTAAGCATAACACGTGAATTAATTTTCACCTCGTAGAACGTTAAATTTTATTATTTGGTGATTATGTGATATCTATATGACACGTACAACCCTACTAACCATTTTTGGCTTAGCTCTTTCTTCTACAAAAATATTTTCAGGCCGAGAAGCTCGGTGAGACGTTGGCAGTAGCCAAAGTAATAAGTAATATATTTTATTAATTGTCAGAAGTAATTTATTTTATTAATTGTTGAGTCTATATCATCGTGGATTATTATATAACGGTGTACTTTTTGAAAGATTGTATCGTTTTACTTACAATTGTTTTTGGGATAAATTAACGTTTGTACGAAATCATTGTTTGAAATTGTTGAAAAATAGTATTATTCTAACTTTTGTTTTAAACAATTAGGCATTTGTTTTATTATAAATATCATTTTAAAATTTTAGTGCTCTTTTTCTAATGAAAAATATTCTTATGAAAATCAAGGTGTTACAATATGGTATCAGGTCGACTGTTTTGTAGACTTTCCTAAATATATTTGAGTCGGAAAAAAAATTATATATATTTCTAAATTAGAGTCGAGTTAATTCTCATAATTCATTTAGCTACTATTTGTATTAAAAAAAATGTATTTTGTCATTGTCCATCACCGCCATGCCACGCCGACTCGAACAAGGTACGCATTAGATATTTATGCTTTCCTCCATTATGCATTACAAGTTTTAAGTCATTAGTTTACAGGTCTAGTTTAAGTTTTCCATATGAGGACTTATGTTATTAATGTTCATGTGCTTCGCAAGCAGAAATGTCCATTGCAAATGGAGCTGGAAGAGTCATTGTTGACAATTCTCCTGTCATAGTGCTAATAATGGACTAGATCAAAATGACTCAATTAAAGTCTAGTGCTTCTTCTATTAGTGAAGTCTCTAGAAAAAAAAAATATACCAAACGACGCAATGCACCTTGGGTCGCTACGGAAACAGCCTCCTTGTATAATTACAAGGATAAGGTCTGCGTACAAATGACCCCCCAGACCCCAAGCTGTTAGGAATATACTGGGTATGTTGTTGTTGTTGTTGTTGTGCTTCGCAAGCAGAAGTTTTGATTTCAAAGTTATGAAAGTATGGTATATTCCAAGTTTGCATCTTTAGTCAAGCCACTAGACATTTTAAATTTTGAAAGCATGAGATGTTTTAAGTTCCAAAGTATACATTTTTCGAGTTGCACAAGCACATATTTATTTTAAGATTTATGACCATGGTAAATTTCAAGAGCACATTTTATATAAATCGAGTCATTTTCTCATTAAACATGTTTGCATACATGACCTAGATAGATGGCGTGTATGCTTAAAACCTGTAGAAAGTCGAGCTTATGACCCGACAACAGTACCTCAAGGAAAGTTCAAGAATTCAAAGGGTTATTGATGGACGAAGGGTTATCAGTGGCGAAGAATATTCTAAAGTTATTCAAGTTTTGGGAAGAACTGAGAGTTATCTCCTCACACATATAGATGAAATTGATAAACTCTTGAAACCTTGCCACTGTTTTGGAAAATTGTATGTTGCGCAAGAGAAATGCGCAAACTTACGAGGAGTGGTGAAGGATCGCTTCGAGTCAATTTTTATGACATGGTACTCTGCTTGGGCCGGCGTTGGGAAAAATAAGACCTATGGAAACGAATGGTGAATGGTGAAGGGTTGGAAGATGACCTAATAGGTTTAGGCGAATCTAGCAAGAGAAGTAACTAAATCATAATATTTGAGAATGAAGAATTTCTATCTTTAGTTATTTGTATTTTGTTTTTGGTTCGTTATTTTCGTGAGTTGATTGTAAATGAAATATTTTACTAATGATATTTTTCTTAATCTCTCCTATTTATTTTTATAATTTAGGCTCCTTAAATAGTTTTTAATATTGAAATGAATTGTAATATTTGTGAATGTAAATAGAATAATTAAAATACAATGGTAAAATGTATTTTAGTATATAATTAATTTGGACAAAAGTATAAGAAAGTAAACCACCAAATAAATTTTGTAACCAAGTAAAATATTATTGTTATTCCAATTCAAAATATGAGTTTGAATGGAATAGAATAGATCAACTTTAGTATAATCTGTTGAAAGTGGGATAATTATTTTGAATGTTTGACTTAACTCATAGACTTAAATTCAATCCCCATTCTTTTCAAAATTTCTAAATACTTACCAACAGGGGTTGGCTCAATTAGTAAGCAGCTTGATGTCGTTTAAGCAAGGTCTCGGGTTCGAGTCCTTCTGAATGCAGAAAACCCTTGTTGGGAGACTCACCCACCATTGTCAGGTGTGCGACCCGGGTCGACCAACGGATTAGTCGGGGCAAAGCTCCGGATGGTTGGCTACCAAAAAAAAAAAAAAAATTCTAAATACTTTACCTGACCCAATACTAATTTCGTACACATTTGAAATTAAGCATACCATTAGCAATAATAATAAGAATGATAACGATAGTATTTTTATTATTATCAATAACAATAGTGATAATGATAACAATATTATTATTAATATTATTCTTAAAGCATAATTTAAATACTTGGGGGTCACGTTACTATCTATGCAAGGCGTGAAGACTTTGGCATTACCAAAAATGTCTGTCATGTTAAATACTAAATAGTAACAATACTTGATTGTAACTCAAGCATTCGTAGCTCATAAACCTTAGGGTTTTTTTAATGGAAAATCATACTTATAAGTTTGTGTATCATATTTTAAATTTGGTGGGACTGTTACTGGATCATGACTTGACAGGCAGGAAGTGAAAGTGACCAAGAAGGCATGTATGGAGTAGGGACATCTAAAAAATCCCAGAAACGTGTTCGTGGAAAGGCCCGGCCTATGACCTCCAAAGCACCTGATGATCAATTTGTTTCGCATTCACAGACCATTGCTTCAGATTACGTGTTTCTGTCATTGACAAAGAAGAAACGCTCAGGAGGTATGTTCGAACAATATTAACTCAAATTTAATATGTGAATGGTTATGAGGAATATCACTCTTCATAAATTACCTGAATGTCGTTTTGTATGCATAAGAAAGTTCCAGGATATCTCTCAATTTTTTGTTCAAATTTTTTATTGGCACATGGAATGACATACATATTCCAAATGTATTGTTCTCTTCCTTAGTCCTTACACATTTTCGTGTTATTTCCTCTTTGCAAAGACAATTTAATCGTGTTATTTCCTCTTTGCAAAGACAATTTAATCTTTTCAGGTTATACAAGATATCATAAGATTTGTATTCTGTCTTGTAACTGCACTAACGGAATATTGTTCTGGTAATTTATCTTCATGTTCTTTTCAGGAAATCGGCATTGTCCTGTTGGGAAAAGGACGCCAAGGTTCCCCGTTTCAGTTTCATATGAAAATGTTGATGGAGATAAATTTGTTTCTCCTACAAGGCAAGGCCTTAAAATCAAAGCTTACGCCAATGATGATGAAGTAGCTCATGAAATAGCAATAGCTTTGGCAGAGGCATCACATATAGGTGGTTCTCCTCAGGTTTCTCGAACACCAAATAAAAGACCTGTGAGTGTTATGCCATCACCATCCAGACGTGTTCAGCAAAAGGTAAGGGAATAGGTTGCTTGGCCTTTTGGTCTGGAAATGTTTTTTGTTCATTTGTTACTGCAAATTTGTGATGGACCGAAAATCATGAAGGAAGAATGACTATTATGAGCATGATTGGGTCTGAGTTGAGTGCATTCATGAATGTGATTCTCAATTAGAGCTGAATGTGATTGGTTAAGAACTTATAGAATTGTTCTTGAATGATCTTTTAAACAGACGTGTGAAATTCTTTGAGATAAAATTATCTATAGACAAGCATTCTCTAGATCTTTTCACCTTGTTTCACTTATCTTATAGACCCATTCTTGGCTACAGCATTCTCTACGAGACATGGCCGATACTAAAATACTGGCTACTGATATGGACAAAGAATTAGAAGCAAGCACAGAGTCTGACAAAGGAGAGTTGTCTATGTACGTACACTCATCGAGAAAGGAGGCAAGAAAATTAGAAGATAAGAGGTTTGAAGTTGACAGTAATAGTGAGGATAATTTGGAAGACAGCGTGGAAGAATATAATGGAACAGAAGAAGATAAAATATCTGGTGTAACGGGGGACAAGAAGGTTTTGTTTAGAAAAGGTACGACAAATTGTGTCAGTTCTTTTTCTAACATGTTCCAAATCCTTGTTTGTCACTTTGAATTGTTATCATCTTTGTCATTTTGTAGCTGGGATCTTGGAACTTTTCCCTGCTCAATATGTTACAACATAAATTACTGATCATGTAATATTTTAATTTTTGCTATTAAAATTCTATTTTTTCCTGCTTTGCGTCTAACATTCAGGCGTTGTGAATGTAGTTGTGTGACGTAGGAGTCTTCTGTATTATTTTAGTACATATAGGTTAAATCACTGTGTTGATTATGGAATGGTGTGCATTTCAGGTGCCCCAGGTTTGAGAATGCTAGATATATACATAAAATGGTCGTTTTCCTTTTTAATGTCACTTGATCTTGGGAAACAATATTTTCCATAGCACGTGGCTGATTCTTTGTCTTTAGTATTATATTGATTACATTTTTATCTTTCTAGATGACACTCCTGCCTTTGATGCCCTGCAAACTTTGGCCGATTTGTCATTGATGATGCCAACAGAAAATGAAGATGGTAAGCAACCTACGATTTTACTTGTTTAATTGATTTTTTATGGCTGAGATCTAGTGCATATGTACGTTAGAGGATACTTTTGATGATATTGCCTACGGAAATTTTATCAAGTATAGCTCTTTTAAGTTCAGGTTCTTTCTCAAGCAGTTGAATTTGCAATAAAGGGGAAAAATTGATTTGTTTCCAGTTTCTTGACGTTCGAAATCGACAAAGTCTTAATATGTGCTTAGAACGTGTGTTTAGGAAATTAGATCCGTGAAACAATGAGTACAACACAAATTGTTACTAATTTGGTAAGGAAATTGACTGAATGTATTGAATCCAATAAAAAATGCTTGTGTATTGTTGAAGAGTGTATAATTTCACCTTGTTCTCAAGTTCTTTTTGGTGTTTGTTTGTGTATTTCTTTTTCGAGTTTTACAATTTGTAGCTAGTGAAAAGGTAAAATTCATTATGTTAGATGAGTCGGTGTCTTGGGGACACATGTTGGTTAAAGGAGGGACTGCTCCGCATGCATGGTGACTTTCTATATTTCTAATATGAGCAACACAGTAATTGGAAATATGGTGCTTCTATATTTCCATTACATTTGGCGACTTAGGAATTGATCACTTCTATATTTCTATTACATTTAGTGACTTCTTAGGAGTTGATCTCTTCAAAATTTTATGTCTGTAAAGTTGTTTCTAGGTTCTTAAACAATGCAGCCTACGGAGCAGCATTGATTAATGCCATTGTTCGATTTTCCGGTCACAGCATGCAAATAATGACTGAATTCTTTGTAAACTAATTTATGCTACTGCTCTGCCATTCATCAGATTCAGAGGTGCAGTTGAAAGATGAAGAAGTGTCATCAGAAGTTATGCACATGAACCAACCAAAAGAAAAAGGTAGATACTCAGGAGTAAAAATGAAAGGGCATCCGGCATTGTCGAGGTCTGAAATTGCTTCCAATAAAAAATCAAGAACTGGAAAAACTTCAGTTTTGAATGTCAGTGCTGTTCCTGAAGAAAATCAGGATTCTCATCGTTCTATCCCTAAAACATCAAGAAGAAAACAGAAGTTGCAAATGCCTAAGGTATGCATGAATTCTTTCCGTTGCTCATCGTTGTTGTGAATCAGAATTTTGCCAACTATTTTACTTGACAAATTTGTGCATATTAAAAAGTCCGAATCTCAGCCTGATGTTTGTCTTAGTGAATCTCCTGGAATTGGGGTACCCTACCATATGCTTGATAACAAAAATCAGTTTCTGTAACCAATATGACCTTTGTCCAGATATGATGAACCTTCTATATTTCTTTTTCTATGGGGGCACATATTAAGTTGAATGTTGGAATTGTGAAAAACTGAAACCTGGAATGAGTATCTTTCTCAATTAATGTGCTAGTTTTCTTGTTTTTCTGATTTCCTGTTTTTTTTTTTTTTTTT